ATTTAGATAAATGTAGAAATCTACCACTCATGCCAGCTATATATACAGCTCTAAGGAAAATTACAACTATAATGGCGGTATAGTGGTTTATGCTAGGAATAATTTAAATATTTAAATTCAAGAACCAAATATATTAGACTGCAATCGGCTCCTAACCAAAATTGGATCAGACATAGCAATATTAGCTTTGTACAGACCCCCCTCTTTTAGAAATACCAAAGTTTTTACTGACTCACTTAACGGTACGTTTCAACTTTTATCATCTTTTTAAAATGTAGTATTATTAATAGGAGACATAAACATTAACATTCTCCCAGATAGCATCGATTCCTGTGCGCAAGAGTACCTAAACCTATGCTCGTTTCATGGCTTACTCCCTGCGCACACTCTCCCCACTCATCAAAGCGGTTCTTGCTTAGATCATGTTATGCTTAAATCCATTTTTAAATCAATAGCATTAGTTACTAACCGACTATAACCCATCATAGAGCCGCCCTACTAACCTTTAATTGTAAATTGCTTAATTCTACTCGCACGCAAATAATTTCTAAAATCAATATAAATAAACTTGAAAAAGATTTATGCAACATTGACTTAAACCCAGTTTATAATTCTGATGACGCGAATTTTTGTATGTCCTACTTAGTAAAAAATGTACAGCAATCAATATTAAGTAACACCAAAGTCGTGCGTTTAAATAATAAAAATTACAATATCGAGCCGTGGATTACACCGGGACTTATTCGCTGTATGCGACATAGGGTTAAACTACATATGAAGGCTAAATGTTATCCAGGTAATTTAATATTACAAGCATCGTATAAAATATCATATAAAATACAGGAACTTTTGTAACAACCTTCTTGAAAAAGTTTAAAATAGTTACGATAAAAAGGAATTAGACAAAGCTGATACAGACAGTAAAAAAGTTTGGAAACATTTAAAAAATGTAACAAATACATCCCTGTGTCCCTGTGTCGCTTTCTCCACCACAAAACACTCAATCCATCTGTAACAAGTCCCTGGGATCATTTGTACTATTAGATACGGATGAAAGTGAGGTTGAAAGAATAATTTTAAGCCTAAAAGACGATAGTGCTCGTGGTCATGATAACATATCAAACAAAATACTAAAACAATTCAGGCACATCCTACTTTCACCGCCTACATTCATTATGTAAATATCTCTAACAAAAGGGATATTTCCTATATGCTTAAAAAAGCTGTTGTTGTCCCGGTATATGAATCTGGTAACAAAGATCATATAACGAATTATAGACCTATTTCGTTACGGCCAGCAATATCTAAAATATTAGTAAAACGTATAAATAATAGACTTGTATTGTATTTGGAGAAACAATCCATATTATCTAAAACACAGTTCGGTTTTAGATCCAAATTATCGACATCTGACGCTGTGCGTCACCTTACAGATTTTATAGCAAGGGAACTTGACAAGGGTAACAAAACAGTGGGGATATTTCTGGACCTAGCGAAAGCTTTTGATACAGTTTATATACCCATCCTATTGCAGAAACTTGAATCAGTCTAAGTATAAGAATCAGTATCAGAATCAGTATAAGAGGTACACAGCTAAAATTACTTGCAGATTATCTGGAGAACCGCTCCCAGTGTGTCAAAATAGGTGACGTTTTCAGTTCTGATCTTAAGAGTACTGCATTTGGAATTCCCCAAGGAAGTATTTTAGGCCCTACTCTGTTTCTGATTTACATTAATGTCTTGTAATCTATAATTGGATGGTGAGAAGATCATATCTTATGCCGATGATACTGGTCTGCTTTTTTCTGCTAACTCTGATAAGGAAGTCTATGAGTATGCTCAGGAGGATTCAATGTCGTAAATAACTGGCTACAGCAACATTTATTAACACTAAACACGGATAAAACTAGTTTCATGCAATTCTATATGCGAAAACCAACGTCTGTTATAACTAACACACAACTTTATGCTCACTATTGTAAGGAGACTTCTAACAACCTGTGCAAGTGTCCAGACTTTTACATTACTAACAAGGTAAAGTATTTAGGTGTAATAATAGATGATATCCTCTTTTTTAAGCACCATATCGAAGCACTAAGCGGTCGAATCCGTAAGCTAATGTATGTATATGTTTAGAAAACTGCGCGCTTTTGCTGATTTTAAAATAATCAGACAAGTTTATTATGCCATATGTCAATCAATTATTACATATTACATTACATCTTGGGGTGGTATTGCTAAATCTTCTTTACCAACCATTGAGAGAGCCCAGCGAGCGTTTCTAAAGGTTTCTTTCCCTTTCGCCCTTTCCTTTACCCCACTCTTCTGTATAAGTCGTATAAGGTACTAACTGTAAGGCAATTATTTATTAAGTCCACAGTTCACAAACAGCACATTGCACTCCCATATAATACTGAAAACACTAACAAAAGACTGAAAGATATTGTCTGCCCCAAAATTGTATCATCAAAACATGTGTTTATTTCTAGATTTTTTGTGTTTCTTGGGCCAATTTTGTATAATAAATTAAACGCCAAACTGGCCATATGTCATTTTTGTTACATAGGATACAGGTATAAGAAAATTCTCCAAGAATTCCTTCAAAATATATCCTACGATGATACAGACAATTTATTAATTATCCCAAAATAAATGTTGTCTAATTTAATCGTAATAGGTACATGATTTGCATTTCATTGTTTAATTATTGTTATTATTTTGTTCATATTTTAATCATTTTGTTTTGTTTATAATTTAATCTTCATATATTCACCTGTATAATTAGTATTTTTTACCTGAAATACCAGGATTCTTCAGTATAGTTATATTATATATAGTTCAGGTATATGTGTTATATTTTACATTTATTCGCATGATTAGTCTTTAGTTATTCATTTGTACAATACGTTATTCAATAAACAATTTTATTATTTATTATTATTATAAAGTAATGTATTAAGCAATATACACGTAAGAAAAGAACTCTGTCTTCTGCTGTTGTTATGCCATTGTAGGGCGTCACATGTTAACTGCTCAACACTGTGGCATCTAGAATTAATCAGGCTACAAATATAGATCAGGCTATATAAATAATCTGCTATTTATTTAAATACTTGTCTCTATTTTCTTATATAAAATATGTTTCATCGTCGTGATATTTAAAGATTTTTAGTAGCAGTAGAGCTCCTTGTGAAAGAGTTCGTCCAGGGAAGTACTGTCGCCTTACCTATTTCTGCTGCTATCATCATTACTACGTTCCGGTTTTGAAAAGTAAATGTGTTAGTGAAATTACAGGCACATGGGACTTGTCAACTTATGTCTCAGCGTCACCCTGAGTGGCAGTGCCCCTTAGATATTTGGATTTAAGGCACTGAGTAGCACTGTAATTGTTATGGACAGGCGTGTTGCTTACCAACACGACCAGTTCGTCCCGTCACTTGACATTATAAAAAAAATTATAAACATGTACTTTAGAATTAAAAGACTCTCATTTTATAGTCAACTAAAAAGTTAAGGTTATTGGTCCATAGTATTATGGACCAATAACACAAGTGGCTAGTAGGCCACCATCTCCTTGCTGCAGATTGTAACTCTGAAAAAGGTCAAAATTCAGTCTTACATCTTCGAGTAGATGGCGCTGATCAATAGCCTGGATATAATTAATATTAATTAATTCCTCTTTAATATGAAATATGAGTAGTCAGTTTTTTCTTTGTAATATTAAATATTGACCATGTGCTAAAATTATTTTCTGATCTTTAACACGTATTTTCATACGTGGCAACAGATGGCATTGTGTGCTACAAACTAATTTATAAATTATTTTTTACTAGTACGGGTAGATGGCGCTAATCCTAAACAATTTAAAATAATACTATACTGCCTACGTGGCAGAACGGTTAATTGCCGGACTACCACGCAGAGGTCCCCGGTTCGATTCCCGGGCCAGAAGAAATATTTGTATGGCCTACATTTATTTCTCTCGTGAGTTTGGGTGTCATTTGTGGTTGTCTATGTGTGTGTCCATGGCACCCGCGACACAGGGTTTCCCTAGCGCGAGGTTTTGTTCAGTGAGTGCGTTATGGTTATTATTAATAGCCGGCAATACCCAAATCTCTTTGCAATAAGCGCCACCTAGTTGATTTGTTTGTTATCACTAGAAATTAAAGTAGCTTTGATAAGTTGTCGTTCATCAATGTAAAACAAATTATACAAAAATTGCAATTTGGTACTCATCGCGAAATCTGGTTTACCAATAGGTACTAAAAACCTAGGATGTCTCGTATCTCGTTTAGCAGTCACAAAATTATCATGAAAATGTCCAGTTACGTGCTTTCTAGGTGCCGTGCATGTATTCTTTAACGTATACTTTGTATTATCAATTTATTATACCTACGCGATAGATTGACTCTTTGAGTTGCAATTTACGACTTTATTGCCCTTCTGGTAATAAAATAGCAGCCACATATTTACTGTATAGCACCATGATTTAACGGGTTTGTAAGTGGGGCGAATGTACAGTGCACACTTATTAATAATTCAGCATGTATCCGTCATAATTGTGAGTGAAACCTTAGCAATTAGAAGGTACAATTAGAGCCGCTCTGAATCTTTTACTATGCTGAGCTCGTATTAGAATTGTGGATTGTTTAGACGAGTGTCGGCTGTGAATTTGTAGAATCTCTATAGAAATACTTTCTTAAGTTCATTAGTTGTCTAGTTGTATAAAAGGTAAAGGGGTTCTCAAACGGTAAAGCCAGTCGCAACGACGCGCTACACCACGAGTTTAGCTTTGCGTAAAATGTTGACGTAATGTGCCAATGCTATGCAAAAGTAGCGTCGCGAGTCTTATAATAATAATAAAAAGCGAATACTGTCATATCACTTGTAAAGTGCCTTATCACCACACCTGTGGCGACTGATCGTGTGGTAGATGTATTCCTTTTAAATAAATTCTAAATGAAAGTATGTACAATAACGCGCCTGTTAAGTCAACTCACCTTTAGACGACACGATTCCTTCAAAAGGATGCGAGAAAGTGAGATGTACGTCCATGTGATCCTTCCCGCACATGACTTCTAAGGACTGGATAACTGGCATGCCCTCTGGCCGGTCTACAGGCCAAAGGTCTCCGGCACGCGCCCTTGTCTGTTAACAATAAACACATGTTAGCTTTCGATGTATGGCGATTCTTACCACGGTGACATCTGTCAATGTGACAAGCAGCAGTATTAATTTGTATGGAAAACACTTACAGCATCACACACAGTTGTCGCGTCGTAGAAATGCAAGTTAATACGACAGCCGTGGTTATGTTATAAGTGACAGTGACTCTATATAAAAACCAATACTATGCTACATGCATATCAGTATATTAAATAGGTATAACTTCTTTATCAGTATATTAATTAGGTATAACTTTTAGCAAAGTCCTTTGAAAAGAGTTCGTCCAGGGAAGCACTGCCACCTTACCTATTTCTGCCACCAAGGAATAACGTGAGCATTAGTGCGTCCCGGTTTTGAAGGATAGGAGTGCTGGTGAAATTGCAGGCACTTGGAACTTGTCAACTTAATGTCTCAGGGTGACGGGCGCAGTGGCAGTGCCCCTCCGATCTTTGCGTTTTAAAGCTCTGAGTAGCACTGCAACAGTTATTGATAGGCGTTTCGCTGACCACCAAATCCACAACTTGTTCGTCCCATCACTTAGTATTATAAAAAAAAAAACTTCAGTAGTAAAGAAAATGTGCTCCATTTTTAATGAAGTTGCAAAAATTATCTTAAAATTTAAAAACATAATATATTGGTAGAGTAATCCTAACTGTTTGCCACTGACTTTATACCTAATCGATAACATACTGAGTCAAACAGAAACAGACCTTTCTTTCAATAACTAAAAAAAAGGTGAAAGCGATCAGATTCTTATAAATTGTTATTCGGCAACAAGGCGTGGATGTAACGACAGGGTTCCTCGAACAGTGTAAACATAATAAACGGTTAACATTTACCGAAACGTTTACGCCAAAATTGGATGATTGGTTAAGGAGGTAAAAAGTTGGATCATTTAGTGCATAGACTGAGTTTGACAGAAGGGTTTACTTACTTAAGGATTTTTTATTTGAGTAACAAGATTATAGACTTAAGGTAAGCTTTATCGATTTGAAGAAGGGGAAAGAAAATATTAGGAGATAAATATAGATTTTACTAGAAGATTGCTCTTGACCAAGAAAAGATAGACTGTATAATTCTCAGGTTACTTTTCTCTATTTGGTGCCAATTTTTATTATTTAAATGTTCTAGAACCATATGACGAAGTAATATTTAATAATCGAATGTAGTATCCTGAAATATTATACTCGAATACTTAAATACTAGAACTTGCCACCAAAATTAGGTAGAGAAAACTAACCTGAAAATTACCCGAATAGGTAATGCATACTTAACTGCCTCCGAGGCCGAACGGTTATTATGACGAACTGCCATGTTGACGTCTCAGGTTTGATTCGCGGGCCGGGAAAAATATTTGTATGGCTTCTATTTATTTCTGTCGTGAGTTTGGGTGTAATTTGTAGTTGTGTATGTGTGTGTCCATGACACCGGCGATATAGGGTTTCCTAGTGCGGGGCTATGAGTCTGTGCGCGTTATTTATTATTACTATCAATTAAAACGGAATATTTAGCATTTACTATAATAACTATGATATTCACGTATTGTTTCGTATTTAGTAAACGAACTATTGACTGTCAATAATTAGTAATGTATAACAAGTTTTATATATATGTCCATAACCAGCAATAGAGACGAAATAAGGGCCATCCATCCCTGGCAACTCATCATTCAAGTGGGCCTTATATCACTTTTACGTGGGGCGTACTATAAGTTTCCGGAATGAATAAGAAAAAATACTATAAATGGTCAGAAATGAATTTATTGTTTCTCAAAATATTCTTCGTTAGCATTAATGCACTTTTTCATACGAATGAACCAATTTTGAAAACATTTATGCCACTCCTCCGTGACAACCTCTGAAACATATTTTTCATACTCTTCGACAGCCTCTTCAGGTGATGAAAATCGTTGACCGCGTAACTGGTTCTTAATTTTTGGAAATAAATAAAAGTAACAAGGTGCCAGGTCGGGACTGTACGCGGGATGGCTCATAAGGTCAAAGTTGTTCACCTTCAAAGATTCATTTGTCTGTCTGGCCGTGTAGGAACTGGCATTGTCGTGGTGCAAGATGATACGGCGTTTACGGTTATTTTTACGGAGTTTGTCAATAACTTCCGGCAAACAAATGGTCGTGTACCAGTCACTATTCACGGTATAACGATTCTCCAAAGCAACAGTAGCCACGTATCCAGTTTTATTAAAAAAAGAAGCAATCATCCGCTTAGAGGCACTTTGCACGCGCGCCACTTTGGTTGTTTTCGGATTATCTCAAAAGACCCATACGCTCGATTGCTGTTTTATTTTGGGATCGTAACTATAAATTCATCTTTTGTCACCTGTTAGTATGTCCCATACCGAATTTGACGCTCCTTCGTTGTATGTGGTAAGCATGGCATAGCACCAAGTGACGCGATCCGTTTTTTGAGCCTCAGTCAAATTGTGTGGGATCTACCGAGAGCACAGCTTTTTCACACCCAAATGTTTATGTAGTATTGATTGTATTTGACTCATGCCTATCTGTTTTGATCACACGGCGCACAGCATCAATGTTTTTTTGTTCACAGCAGTGGACGGGCGACCATCACGAAATTCGTCACTGAGATTCACACGGCCGTGAATTCGACGACGTTTGAATTCTGCAAACCAGCTACAAATAGTCGTCTTGCATGGTGCTTTATCGCGAAAAGCAGTTTGAAGCCGAGTATAGCACCGCTGAGCTGTTAAATTATAAGTCGTGGAAAATCATAATACGAAAATTTTCACGAGTTAAATTCATGTTGATGTAGACAACCAATTTCTGAACTGACGCCACAATGTAAAAACAAGTGACAGTCAGATGAAACAAACTGTATCCTACAGCCAAAGAGTTCCATTTTCAAAAGTTGTAATTACTTTTTAAATATTGTTTATGTAAGTAACCAGTTCCGGAAACTTATAGTGCGCCCTATGTAAATGTTAACTCTCGTTTGCGATGAAATAACAAATTAGAAAGCTGAAATAGTACAACTGACCTCTGTGTATACGTCTCCGTATATTCCAAAAATATTTTGTATTTATTGTAATAAAGATAATATCTCTAACAATGGAGGGCTGTTCCATTCGGTGTTGTGGAAAAAACAGCAAAACATCTAATTACAAAACAAACGGAATCACATTTCATCGGTAATTAAATATGTAATTAATTTTCGTCTATTATAGCAAAGCTCAAGTTAAACTGGTCGATTTGAAGTGAAACAATTGACGACACCCGTCAATTGTTTTGAATTCGGGCTGGCCAATCGGAGCGCAGTTGTCACAGTAATGGTACGGCAGAATAGTTTTCAAACCAATTAAATGACATTTCGACTCTGTTTCTGGTTATATAGTCGATGATATAGTATTTATCACTCTTGACATAATTATAACTTGTGACATGTAGTAATAACACGAAATGAACCAATTGTTAACTTATCCATTCGATTCGGTATAGAAAAGAACCAATGAATAATCACTGCCGGTTCTTAATTAACATAATCCTTTAATTTTTAATTCTTAATTACACCAGCCCGTCCGATGGCTCTCACCGTCACACCCAGGGTTGTCATTTTCGTTTTTAAATTCTCCATCCAAACGTAATATAGCTAGCTATAGTATATATACGATAAGTAATTTTCAAATTCGGTAATTATTGTAAGTAGTGACAAGCATTTTAAAGTAAATTTTGTTTTTTTTTTTTTTCAAACAAACCAATGTTTCGGAGCCTTTACAAGTTCATGGTTGATTGACATAACATGGGACTGTAATGAGCACGAAACGTTGTTTGTTTGAAAAAACAAATATACGCGATTTAGACCCTAAAAATAGTTTCATTACCTATGTGTAATAATCGAGAAAAACCTAAGAACTTGATATATAACAATAATGTTACAGTGGTCAATTGATAGTATATAACTAGTACATGGTATTTAATGCATGTGACACATGTTTGTACGGTCACTATTTATGTTACATCTTCTGTAATACCACGTTTTAAGCATGTAAATTCCAATCAATGTTTATGTGGTATATATTTTCATTAATATCAGAACACAATTTATCAAAATACAATTCAAAAATCCAACAAGTATGAAACGCCTAACTGTATCCTCAACTTTCAAGTCTTTATTAACCTGATCTGTGCCCCGAAAACCGATTTGATGAAGCATGAAGCGCACGTTCCAGGAACAACTCTGTCGCATTACGTTCCCACGCACCAAACAGGAATTTGCAAAAAGGAGACGGGAATATATCTGAGTGCGTGTTAGAAAGAGATAGGTAGAGACACATTTTGACAGTGCCTCTGCAATTTACATTTTTGCGTACGAAAGCCTCGGAAAAAATTTACCAGTCGATCAAGTTAGCTTGTCATTTATCTCTTTATATTTATGATGCAGTAGTTTGACCTATGGACTGACATGTATGAAGGTCTTTCACGTAATTAATCTTAGTATGAAGTGGGCTAATCGGCTGCGTGTTTACCTGTGCTGTGGGCTAATAATTTTAATTGATTTAGCTAGTAGGATGGCAGCGAAAGTTCGCGTTTAAGATTAAGTATATTAAGCTCAAAGTATATTAATAAATAACCGTATTAATTATCATAATCTTTGTGGTCAGTCAGTAATATAGCATAGTTTTTTTACTTTACATAACGGTATATTTAGCGTTTTTTTTCTAAAATACTTAGAATTCAAAAAGTTAGTTGTTCATACTAACACATTTTACACAAACAAAGAAATTTTAAACATAAACAAATCTTTCTTACAGACTAAATTCTCACAAATCGTTAAGCTTACTGTTTTTTTTTCCATTACACAATCTGATTACTCGGTACGGGTTTCGGTCAGATAATAATGAAATTATAGAGGTTTAATTGCATCAAATATCGTTGTAAGAAAGTGTGCCGACAATCTGTACTCTGTAATCAAGCCTCCTTTACACCGTACTGGGTGTTCTTTTTGTATTA